CCCCAGTCAGCGAGTTGGAAGTTGAAGTCCAGACATCTTCAAGTGGCCAAGGTTGAGAAACACTGATCTAGATGAATGGGTACACAGTTGGTTTCAGTAATGCTAGGCACTACGAAGAATTAATATGAAGGTTTTTTTTTGCTAAGCTGCTTGAAGGCCACGTTTAAAGGGCCATTCTTGAAAGTTAAGGAACTAATTAAGAAACTTTTTATTTTAGATATTTGGTTCTGGCTTATATTGCAAAGTGACACAAAATTAATAGAAATATTTTATTATTTTCTCAATGCTTTTCATCAAAAATATAAATATAGATTTAAATATTAAAAATACAATTGATTAAAGTAATTAAAATAAATAATGAAGACAGATTTTAAAATCCAATATATAGGTGAATAGGTATATGTTCAATTTTCAGCAAAGACATTCCATAATGAAGCTTACCTAATTGCTTATTTCACACAATTCATACGATTATGGAAAATACTCATATTAGAATCATAGTTACATGGCTCTACTATGACAACGGGCAAACTTGAGTAGTCCAATATGAAAATAATATTGTTACTGAGGTGTTTTGGAGTCTTATAAATTAACAAAATCTTATTAAAAATCACTCAGTAGCCCAGGGTGTCAAAATGGTGGCCCATGGGCCAGATGTGCCACACATAGGCTCAAATTTGATACCCATTCAGTAGCCTGTTATATACTTTAATATTGAGGCTACCATTGCATGTTATATTATTCTGGCAAAGATATTGCTGTCTAGGGGAGTTTATAGTTGTCATATTAGCCAAAGTAATGGCTATTCGGTCCTCCTTTCAGCAATATGGCTGATTCTGAGCAGACCCATTCAGAAATGTTGGAATTCTGTAGTGACTACAGTAGAACACACTCTTGATTTCAACAGGATTCAACTCCACCTTCTTTGTCTTTATCCACACACTACTTCAGGAAGATCCATTTTTTTTTCTAAATCTTTTCCTGGTAGTATGGATTTTTTTTCATTCCTTACACATACATTTCTCCATGGATACTAATATTTCAGTTAATATTCACTTAATAGTCTGCTTGTTCATGATGGGAATAGGACAAATATTTAAAATTAAAGATCTTTCCATTCTCATATTATTTGTGCACAATCAGAACTTACAGGGAGTTATTTAAGTAGATTAAGTGCCTCTTTAAGTGGTTTAAAAGAAATATCAAGGCATTTTCAGGAAACTACAGTCTAAAGTTTCCTTTTTCTCCTTACATGTGGATGTAGGAAGATAGATATAAACATATGAAATCAAATACCATGATCACTTGCAATGCCAAGACATAGTATGGCATGGGACCTGAATCAAAATTAAAACAACTTTATGTAGTTGCTAAAAAAGAAGATTCTGATAGCTTATATTTGTTGTGACTGGAGTTATTATACTCTATACTTTTGGAACAATACATGAAATGTAATAAATTTTAGAATTCTTGACCTTACGTTTTACTTCAGTGTGTGTGCTTCTTTTAATGAGAAACACTGTAAGCAAATATTATTACTGTATTTTCACCTGTTGATCAGTCTTTTGTTTTTCCCACTTTAGAACCAAATGATGAAAGTGGAGCCAATGTGGATGCTTCTAAAATGTGGCGAGAAGACCGAGAACAGTTCAACAAAATAGCCAAACAAATTGTCCAGAAATCACTTGGTCTTTAAAAAAATTCAAACAAAACACCTGAAACTCTTGACAATCTTCCTGTTGAACATTTTATAGACAGAGGCTGATAGCAGAACTCTGAATTGGTACCAAAAAACAAATCTTGCAAAACTATTCATGAATTTTTGCTCCTCTCTGTATATAAGCATGCATCAATCCTTTTACACTTTGGAAGAAAAATCTTTCTCAATGTAAGACATACCAATAGATGGGATGCAAGTACTGTAGAGCTGTAATCAGTTTCCATTAGTAAAAACTTAAGTCTCTGCAATTATATCTGTAATATCATATTGTTAGTGGAAGCTATATGTCACCAATGAGAATTATCCGTTTAAGAATTATTATTTACATAATTTCATTTAACTAAAAAAAGAATGTTGATCATCAAAATGTTACACAATAAAGTGAACTATCTTCGTCCTGGGAAAGGAGTGGTCAGTGTAATCTTACTTTCTGTTATAGCATTCTGCTTGCCTAAATTAAAAACGTGATTGGACATGAAGATATTCGACAGGAATATATTTCCTTCTGAAACTGAAGAAATTGAACTTAATATAACTCCTATAAACTCAATGTTAGTTGAACAATCATTAGTCATATAGAAATATTTGATTTCTCTGATAGCAAGCTCCACCCATGATATTTACAAGAAATAATAAAGTGATGTATGACAGAAGACCATTTTTTCCCAAGCTAATCTCTAATACAAATACTTATCTTTTAAATCTAATATTGTTTATTCAGCAGTTCTAATGGAAACAGGATGACCACAATTTAGTATGAACTTTGCCGAAGGAATAGTTGACTTCTGATATCAGTCATTCTTGTTATTTCCTGAGAGTAAAATTAAAGGACACACACACACACACACACACACTTCCTCTATTCATTGATTTAGTTGGGCAGTAGTAGGGAACACATTTTTAAAGGCTATTTCATATTTATTGTAAAAATCTATTACATTAAGAGGATGCCAGTTGCTCTACATCTGTTATTTTGTTATGTAGAGTTCAAATATATTATGTAAGGCAGTGGTCTCCAACCTTGGCAACTTTAAGACCTGTGGACTTCAACTCTCAGAGTTCATGGAGTTGAAGTCCACAGGTCTTAAAGTTGCCAAGGGTGGAAACCACTGATGTAAGGAATATTGTTAACAACTGAATTAGCCTTAAACTATACTTAAGTGTTTCAGTTCAATCAAATCAGTGTTTCACATTTAAATCAATGTTTTATAGATTTGCAGTCTGAAGGACTGATCCAATTAAATACATTTTTTTGAATTTATTTCATGTAATTATTATACAGGTAGTCTTGACTTAGTGACCACTTAAAAGTTACAACAGCACTGAAAAAAAGACTCAGGACCATTTTTTATACAGACAATTCCAATGATACAATTTATTATTTATTTAAAACATTCATTTAGTCGCCTATCTCAGTGTTTTTCAACCACTGTGCCGTGGCACACTAGTGNTATTGATGCAAAATGATGTTGTATGTATGGATTCAATATTTAGAATACCTTGTTTAAAATTAAGGAATAATAATCATAGTTGAAAAATTGACACATAACAATAATGTAGCTTATGTTTACCAAATTAACAATTTGTGACTCGATATATAATTGCAAGTGGTGACCATGGAAAGGATGCACAAAATCTTGTAACAAAACGACACGCTATGTGAGATGGAAGAAGGATGTGTGTGTTTTACGTTTGTGTTTGTTCTTGTTTGTTTAAAAATAATTTTAAAAAAACCCTTAAGTGATGGAGCACAGACAACTTCTGGTGGCAAGCTGTTCCGCTGATTAATTGTCCCCACTGTCAGGATTTTTTCCCTTAAGTTCTAGGCTGGTTCCCTCCTTGAATAGTTTCCATCTGTTGCTTCTGGTGCTTTGGAGAATAGATTGACCCCTTTATGACAGCCCCATATATATTGGAAGACTCCTATCATGTCACCCCTGGTCTGGAAAGAGTGCAGAGAAGAGCAACAAAGATGATTAGGGGGCTGGAGGCTCAAACATATGAAGAACAATTGCAGGAATTGGATGTGTCTAGTCTAGTGCAAAGTAGTTTTCACTAGAAATATCCAGTTCCTGCAACCATTTTTGTATGTTTTAGCTTCCAGCCCCTTAATCCTCTTTGTGGCTCTTCTCTGCATTCTTTCTAGAGTCTCCACATCTTTTTTACGTCTTGGTGACCAAAACTGGATGCAGGATTCCAAGTGTGGCCTTCCCAAGGCCTTGTAAAGTGGTATCAACACTTCACGTGATTCTGTCCCATAAATGTAACCAAGGATTGTGTTGGCTTTTTTGGCAGCTGCAGCACACGGCTGGCTCCTACTTAAGTGTTCGTCCAATGGGACTCCAAGATGCCTCCCATAGTTACTGCTATTGACCCAGGTACCACATAACCAGAGGAGGAACTCAGCAGGTTCTGACCAGTTCTGGAGAACAGATAGCAGAAATTTTGAGTCGTTCGGAGAACCGGTAAAGGTTCCACCACAAAACCGCGGACGACAAAATCGCGGACGACGAAAGCGCGTATGTGACGTCATCACAGCGCGACGAAAAAGATCAAAAAATGTAAAAATGAAGCGAAAACCTTACCCTAACCCCCCCAAACCTAACCCTAAACCTAACGCTTAACCTAACCCTAAACCTAACCCTAAACCTAACCCTTAACCTAACGAAANATTTTCAGCACGGGAGGACAAAAAAGTTATCCATCACTGGTATAGGGTCTCCTGCTTGAGCAGAGGGTGGGACTAGAAGACCTCCAAGGTCCCTTCTAACTCATCACCTCTCCTCTCCCCTTCCCTTCCAAATGCAACAGATAGAAGAGCCAGGGCACACTTATTCCAGAGAGAGTGGGGGGGAGTTCCCTGAGGATGGGCTCCGATACAAGCCTGGAAGCTTGACGTAATAACCCCAATAACCCACCCAGATCGGACCCTGTAACGTTATCCTGGGAGACGTAGATTCACCTTCATTTGCTCCTCGTTCCCCTCCAGGTCCTTCGGCTCTGCGGCTGTTCCGCCCAGGACGATGGTCCTTTGCAGAGGCTCACCGTTCCAGCCATCCTGAGGAACATGTAGGAAGAAGGGATCTCATGATGGTGAGTCATCCGTGAATCTGGTTCTAAGGCGATTGAGAAGAGCCTTAAGCCGGATGGAACCCGCGTCTTCTCCAGAGAAGCCCAGAAAAGTTGCCTTGCTCTGAGCTCCCTTCTCACGCTTCTCATGTTCCCCTGGAAGGCGGCTGGCTCTTAACCTTGGCAGAGACGCCCTGTTGATCCAAATTATTGATCGCATGACATGAACCTTCTTAAGAAGAATGTTTCATTTTGCTACTTGGTGATAGGTAATACAGTCATATCACTCGTGGGTTGCTCTTACCTTTCCTACCGGTACGCTGCTCGTGGTCCATTCGTGCATGCGCTGGACGTGTGCTTTGCATGCCCCTGATGTGCTGCTGGCATCGGAGGTTGTGCAGGGGTCGCACGCTGTGCGTGCGTGTGCAATTGGCCCAGTTGCCTTAAAAACAGGTAAGGAACGCCGGTGGGCGGGTGGGCCAAATGAGCCACCGTACCGGTACCGTATCTCCCGACTACTACCGGTATGGCCATACTAGGCCGTACCGGCTGGAACCCACCACTGAGTCATATTGAATAAACCCAGGTATTAGGTCATATCTCAAGTTATGCTTGCTTAGACCAGGAGACCCCACACGTGGCAACTTTAAGCTTTGTGGACTTCAACTCCCAGAATTCCTCAGTTGGCTGGCTGAGGGATTCTGGGAGTTGAAGTCCACGGTGTTTAAATTTTGGAGGCCTCTGCTCCAGTTGCCTGAGGGATTCTGGGAACTGAAGTCCACAAAGTTGCCCATTTGACTACCGCTGGCTTGGATACTCCAGGCAATTGGCTTTTTTTGCCATAGATGAGCTTCACAACATGGACTTTGTTGCTCTTTGGGCTAAGCTCCCTTCTGCTGGACCGGTGGCCCATTTCAAAGAATCCCTAATGAACCTGCAGGAGCTTCGCACGGTGAGAGTTCACAGCGTCTCTCTCTGCCAAGTTGAATGCGCGCTTTGTCATTTCTGCGCAACTGTTCATTGTCGTTTCAAAAGAAGAAAGCATGATTTTTTATTCATTTCCTGCACATTTACAAAACCCTCCGTCTATTCTTCTGTGAAACTCTGGGTGGTTCCCATGAATTCCAATAAAAAATAAATAAAAAAAGAAACCGTAGAAGTAAAAGCAATTAAAAAGTTGAAATAATTAAAACCGATGAACCAGAAATATGAAAGACGACGGGGCAATGCCCACCCACAGCTTAGGGACAATGTGTTCGTTCCACACCCCCATGGGGTCCCCAAGTCTGATGCTTTGGGGCCAGTCCAATGTAAGAGGAGATGATGGGCCCAAGGGGAAGAGGGCACATGTGCCATGGCAGAAAGGGGCCTCTTCCTGGACCCATAACGTGCCCCTCCGATACGATGGGTAGAAAAAGGCCCTCAAATAACCCTGTTAAGGCTTCATAGGTGACAATCAACAGCTTGAATTGGATCCAGAAGCAAACAATCAATAGGATAACGGGAGGCAAAGTCTTTCAATATAGCTCACAATTAGACAGCTCACAATTACCTGCCTTGATCAGACTTGGGGAGTGGCCAGGCCGATATGTGTACTACTTGGCAAGAATGCGGGAATAGAACTACTGTATTTTTGGAGTATAAGACGCACTGAAGTATAAGACGCACCAAGGTTTGGAAGAAGCAATTTTTTTAAAATAGAGGGAGAGAGAGAGAGAGGGAGAGGGAGAGAGAGAAAGAGATCCCTCTATCTACCTAGAGGGTAGATTTTTTGCTAATTTCTGCCCTCCCCAGCCTCCCAGGAGCTCTCTGAAAGCCTCCATAAGGGTATGCACGGCCATTTTGGTGAAGCGGGGGGCTTCAGGAGGCAAAAAAATGCTGTATTTGATGTATAAGAAGCACCCAGATTTTCAACCTCTTTTTGAGGGAAAAGGGTGCGTCTTATACTCTGAAAAATACGGCAATGGTCTCCTGCAAACTCCACTCCCCTTCCGCTCTTCTTTTATTTCCTCTGGGAGGGGGCATTCACCGTCCACCTGTGGCCTTACTCCCAAGTCGACCCCTGTTGTTTAGCTGTTCCCTTCGTTGGGCAGATCTTCACATGCGCACGCTGGGAACCTGTTCTTCTGCCTCACTGATCTCCGATTCTGAAGGCAGCTGATAACTGGCACATGGCCCTGTCACTCTCTCTGCCTCCAACGCAGAGCCCTCCTCAGACTGGCCCAGACTGGCTCCAGGACTGGCCCAGGTTCCTCCCCAACCTCCCCATTGTCCAAATCTGCAGCTCGCTCCGCTGGTGGGCTACAACAGTATGAGGGGTGCTGGTCTTGCACCCC